TGCACGTGATCATTTGGGAACAAAATCGATGTTCCCGCCAGGTTTCACTGTGAAAAAGTGAAACTGCTCGGTCTGCTCTGGCCTCGAGGCCGGAGCAAGCAGAACATGTTCTGGCCGACCCAGAACAGGTGCAGTCCCAACCAAACGCGCTGTTCTGGTGAATCCTGTTCTAGTTCGTACCAACCAAACGCGCCCCTAGGCCTTTCCGGATTATGTGTTTGCATATTTTTGCATTTTGAGGGTCCAAATGCATTTTGTCCATTTTGACCCACTTTGGGCCAGGGAGTCGTAAAATACCGGTATTTTACGACTCCCTGCAAGCGATAGGTACTTCATGATCACCATGAATGATCACCATGGTGCCAAATGTCACGCGACTAGCTGTCGCCATTTTGTTACCATGGCAACGGTGGCATTTTTTGTGCTTTTTGGGTAATTTTTTGCATTTTCTTTAGAAAAAAATTTGATTTATAGGGGTTTTTCAAAACACTTTCCATTTCCATTTTAGACCAAGAAAAAACGCATAATCCGGAAAAGCCTAGTGCTGTCCCGACAGAATTTCAAGTTGACGTCATTTTGATGATGCAATATGCAATGCGCACTGTACACGGATTATCAGACGAATCCGGAACCTGTGGTTGACCGAAGCCGATCGATCCTAGATCCTGTACAAATTATTGCAAAGAAAAACGTGTGATGCGTTGACACCCGTACATGTTGTAAATCACTGCTGCAAGGAGCATTGCGTCATAAATAATGACGTCAACTTGAAATTCTGTCGGGACAACAGGGTATGTGGGAGTTGCACACTCTGGGGGGTTATTATTATTATTATTATTATTATTAAATTTTTGATAGGGCAATCCCCACAGGCCTAAGGCCTTCTTACAGGGTACCCTAAATGTGCCAATACAAGGTAACGGAAGCGAGAAACAGATGTGCAAAGGCGAATGTCAGCAGGTAGAGAGTTCCAACGATCTGAGCCTAGAAAACTAAGAGAAAAAAGACCATACCGATTTAAAGCAGCGGGAAGAGTAAGGGCTTTAGAAACTTGAGAGCGTGTGCGGGAGTTTGTGTGTGACGATGCACTGCGCAACGAAAAACAACTAGAGAGTAGGGGGCTTGCTGTTATGTACTCTTGATACAGTGTACCAGGGATCGCACAAACTTTATTATTATTATTTTTTTTGTAAATTGACCAAAAAGAAACAAAGAAAAATGATGGCACCTATATAGCTAGCTATGTACAGGCGATGGCCCACGCCTGGTATAAAGTAAACGTAAAAGAGAAAAAAGAAAAAGATGAAGGAAAAGAAAAGATAACAAAGAAAGAGAGGTAAGCAACTCCATGTACATCCACCGTACTTGTGTCATACGCTTACAATGAACACTCAGCAGCCGCCAGAACCGTGAGCCGAGTGAACAGGAAGTGGCACTGAAGAGCGCCGGTAGCCGCGCAGACTAGCAACCATGGCTCTCACTAGGCTGAAGGACAGTTTGGTCCGGACGAAAGCCATGGTGACGGAAAAAGGCTCGTTGCGCTTGTCGCTCAGTTTGCTGGCAATCCTGGCAAACAGCGCAGATGAGGCCTTTCCCTGTCCACCAGTGGTGGAGAAGACAATGGGCACAAAGGAGGAGTGCTCTACCTCCAGAACTCGCCGCTCATATTTCCTCCGCTTCTCCTGCTCATGCTTTCTGTAGACAGACGGGAGTGTTAGGGCCTGGTCAGACTGCGGCAAGTTTTGGTTGCCTGACGAAAAAAGAACAGCGTCCAGAATTTGAATCGCGATCACACTACACATGTGGGGAGAGTGAAAATTCAAACTTCATTTCGAGCGTCAAGTGGTAATCTCCACGAACGACGTCAAATTCCTTCACCTTGGGGATCGCCAACACCTTCAGTGCAATCCTTGCAACCATCTTTATGAGTTTTGTTGTTGTCCGTGGCCAATTAGCTCCTCGATATCGAGATGAAAAAATCAGTGATTATCAGCGTCAATGGCGCATCAGCGTCAAATCCTGTTTGGAGCGGAAAAGCGTGGTCCGTTCTTGCTTTTTTTTTGGAGCGTCAACTCTCGCTTTTGCCGCTCTGGCGGCAAGTTACTATGGAGATTCGGATTATAATCCTAGGATTATTTCGATTTTGCCGCAGTCTGACCAGGCCCTGTGTGTTAGGTTTCGATTTGAGGGGACAAAAGGGTTGAACACCCGAACATCAAACATTGTCCTCTCACAAAGGGAGGTTCTGCTATACGTGAAACGTAGAGAAATCACGTAGATCTGCAGGTGTCTGGGTTAGAGTCTACGGCTTCGCGTGTTTTGGCTCCAGATTTCTACGCGGAGATGGGGTTCTCTACGTTGTGGCACACGCAGAGAAAATGCGTACGGATTTGCTGGGTATCGATCAACTGCATGCAGAAAACTGCCAAATATGGAAGGGGAAATTCCCAGTACACATTCCACGTGACTTCTCTCGGTGAAACGACAGACAGACTAAATAATAGAGAGGTTCTGCTACACGGAACTACGTACCAAACTCCGTGTCAACTGCAGTGAAGTTTGACACGGATTTTTCGTACGTTGCACCGGTTCTGCTGTACGTAGCATGCTTGAGGCATGCACGAACACCCCGCCACATGTACTCTGTACGCTCACTTTTCACACGGAGTCCGGTCCGTGTGAACCGCGCTTCACACGGAAAACGGTATGAAAAAATCCGTATCAAACTAAATCCCGTACCGCGGCGAAGTTTCCATACGTACTTTGGCACGTTATACCGTGTGGCAGAACCTCACTAATAATCTGCTATACGTGAAACGTAGAGAAATCACGTAGAGAGCAGGTGTCTGGGTTAGAGTCTCACGGGTGTACGTCTACGGCTTCGCGTGTTTTGGCTCCAGATTTCTACGCGGAGATGGGGTTCTCTACGTTGTGGCACACGCAGAGAAAATGCGTACGGATTTGCTGGGTATCAATCAACTGCATGCAGAAAACTGCCAAATATGGAAGGGGAAATTCCCAGTACACATTCCACGTGACTTCTCTAGGTGAAACCAAGAGTAGATAAACAAGAGTGTGCAACTCCGGATCTCTCCTGCACAATCTGCAGATACCCCGCGCCCACGGCGGAATTTTTTGTTTACGTCACCTTTTTTCAGAGAAACGCGGCTTTGCCGCAGAGCAGTGTGAGAGCACGTGCTGGGCACCGACCTTGCAGTGTAAAGCCCAGCCAAGTGCACGAGGGAAAACTCTCCAAAAGGCTCGCAGCGCGTGCGTCGTCGAAAAGATTACGTCAACAAAAAATTCCGCCGTGGGCCAACCCATGCGGAGTTGCACACTCTTGTTTATCTACTCTTGGTGAAACGTAGAGCAGAACAGCATTTCTTTACGTTACGGGAACGCGAAGAAAGTTCGCGTGATTCTTTGCGTCGCGTTCCCAAAACGTAGAGCAGAACCTCCCTACTAGCCCTGAACGTAGAGCAGAACAGCATTTTTTTACGGGAACGCAAAGAAAGTTCGCGTGATTCTTTGCGTCGCGTTCCCAAAACGTAGAGCAGAACCTCCCTACTGATTATGGCTGATTTATGCCCTACTGTAGTGCGTAGCCCGAGGTCGTGCACCGTAGCCCAAGGGCCGCAGGCCCGCGGGCTACGGTGCACGACCGAGGGCTACGCACTAGGGCATACAATCAGCCATAATGCACGACGCACCATGTGTTTATTATAGTTCATACATGCCACGTACCTAGTTGTAGACAAATAAGGTAAACATGGTCAAGGGAGGAGGAAGGTTCCAATCAGCTGTCATATGTATGAAGGGTCGAACAAGATCGGAAGGAGCTTTCTCCGTGGAATGATAGAACGGTTTGTGTCAGATTTACTTGCAGTTCCAGGAATATGTCTTTGCATCTTGGTGTTAGTGTTGCCTGTTGGGCGGTACGAACGTTAGCCGATTCGCTGCTGCTTTGGAGTTAACATTGGCCGCAAACATCCTTGACCAAGTGGCATTAGTAAATAGACTAGCTTTGAGAGTACATTGTAAGTGTTCTTATTCGGAACAATGATACTTTTTCACACAAATGTACATCTGAGATTTTGTTCGCATTGCTTTCAGTTTACTTGAGGTCCATTATGTACACTGGACAATCATGTAGCTAGGTACATTTGAAGTACATGTACATGTAGATGTAACTGTATATTTTGTAGGAGTTCGAGATACAATCTGATCTCTTCCAGATAGGTAACTTTGTGATGCATGTTCACCTGTCGACTTGGTCGTCTCAATTGACTTGAATTTAGTAATGCATGATAATGACATGCTGTGTGTTATTGTCACGTTGTTATAAATTACTTCTCCTATGTCGACATTGCTAGTAAAATATAATTGTTTTGGACGGTGCACGTATTGTAAAGTAGTTTCGTTTTGTGTGGTGTGTGCGAGTGCATGTGGTGTCCTTAGGAATGGTCCCACGTGTTCTATGTGCGCTGGTGTGCTGCCAATTATGTACCAGGTCACTGCCCAAAAGGCATGGCTTGGTGCATATTTGGCAGTGCACCAGCGTACGTAGTACGCCTGGGGTCATTCCTAATGGGCATGGGAGTTCAAAAAAAGGCATTATCGTCTGATAATGCCCTGGTACGGTGCTGCTCTGATTGGCCAAATGCTAGCAACGACCTGACAACAGGCACGTGACATGTATGAACTATGATTCACCCACGACCAAGGCAAGAGTCCATAACCCAGGGTTATGGACTCTTGCTACGACTCTGTACTGACTCTGTACGAGCTCGTAGCAAAGGACGGTCATCGCTGTGAGGGATGATCACTGCACCACAGAGCTTGAAAAGGCCGTAGCTAGCCTAGGCGCCAAGCCAGCGCAAGCCGCAAGTGGTTCACTTATTTTTATATTTTTATTTTGCCGATTATCATTTTGGAGGTCTTTTCGAAAAGTCGAAAGGTTTGCGTTGCATGCACAACGTGTACCGACGTTGCCACACGCAGTTTTCACGCAGCGACAACTGCCTGATCACTGAGCTCTGCCGATCTGTGTCTGGTGAAAGTCCTTCAGTTTAGGCAGACGCCAGACGTTGCAGAGGAACGCGGCCTTTCAACTCCACTTTGCCACAGCTCGAAAGGTCTTGCCACGACCCTTTTTGCTTCGTCGACGTTCAGAAGCATGAGGTCTGGTCAGCGGTTTTAGTTTCCTCGAATCCTGTTTTCTTTCATTCCGGTCTCAGTCAGTGTTTGTGTGGAAGTGCGGCAAAACATGGCTGGGCCAATGGGAAGGAGCACGCTCAATGACTACATCAAAATTGGCAAGTTGGGAGAAGGTGCTTATGGTATCGTCTACAAAGCCCAGCATGCCGTCACAGGGGAGATTGTGGCCATGAAGAAAATCCGATTGACGTCGGCTAATGAAGGTGTTCCAAGCACTGCAATCAGAGAAATCTCTATTTTGAAGGAACTCCACCATCCGAACATTGTGCAGTAAGTAGGACAGTCCGTCCAAGCTTTGTTCGTGATTTTTGTTTGCTTGTTCGCCTGTGCTCTGTGGAGCGCGACGAGGCGCGGGCTAAGTTTCACGGATCGCTTTTGACCCACAAACATTTGGCATGTTATGTTGTATTGCCACTAAAATGTGTTTTTTTTCTTTTCCCTTTCGTCAATTAGTGAGTGCTGGCTGACTGGTAACAGCAGTGGTGTAGTGTGTAGATTGTAGTAGACATGACAGTTCACATAATGAGAAAGTCTAGTCATGGGTACATTTAGCCACTGAATTCACACTTAGAGGAAATCTTGCCCCCTGGGCAGGACACACAATCGGCAATTGGACCAGGCATGCCGGCCGGTAGGTGCGGCTGAGGGAAATTCCGCATTCCAATTTGAAAACATCACAAACATCAAGAGCTGAGCAAGAAAAGAAAGAAGAGTGAACAGTTCAGTCCATTTCAAATTCTCAGCTCAGCCACAAACAAGGCTGTCCATGACGGGCAGGTTTGTTTCTCTTACATGTATATCACCATGACCGCCGGAAGTAGTTTTTGATTATTCCAGTAGTTTCATACAGTTTGTGTATGATAATGGGGAGTACACATGCCCTCCACAGCAGTAAACATGATTGTGTTGGTGGCCATGAGGTTGGTCCGGTGATAGCCTGACCGGACCCGTTCCGGCGGGCCTGATCACTATTGGGATCCTGCCGTACACGTAGATTTGCCAGCCGTGTGAATCGCCTATATGCTGCATACAGCTAAGGGGCTCTGCATGATTCTTCCCGCTCACCATTCCTTTCCCAGGACGGTGAGGTGTGTGGGAGAAAACTCTGTCACTGCGCTGCTGCTGTTGCACAAAACACAAACTGGCGGCGATCATTTTGCAAAGCTAGCTGAAGTGCAAAGTACAATGTAGCTGTGACCTCCATTTACTTGGATGACCTGGAAGAGAGTATGGTATGAACACAAGGACGCTGAACGGGTGCTGTCAAATTCATCTCATTTGTCACCCATACAGTTTTGAGGGTACATGATTGTACTAGCTTTGTATAGCATGCCCGGGCAGCAGCCAAACCAAGTGGGCCCTGCACTTTGCCAGTCTTGCATGCTCGTACGGGGCACTGTTTGCAAGTCCAGTGACGCGGCCTAGAACACGTACCCGTGGGGTTTTCAAACAAACAAAAAGAACACACGTGCCCGGTGGTCGTTTACCAAAAAGCAGGTGCATTGATATCAGATGTGCTGCTTGTGGGATGCATGCTTGTTTTTCTTGCACTGTGGGGTGATCACACTATTAGAGCCAGAATTTGCTGTTGTCGAAGGTGGGTTATGAAAGCCTGGATTAATTCAGTGCCCTTGGTACGTGTGAAGTGTTCGTGCACACTTCACCCATGTGTGAAGACGTGAGAAAAGAGAAACTAGCGACACACTCAGTCAATGCGTCCAGTCACTCCACAATGTGCGCTCGGACAGCCCGTTCCATAGGCACAGTATCGCCATGGTGAGGACAATTCCGTTGGTATCTTGATATTGCAGATCCTCCAAGCAGTTACATGATTACTTGCATCGTTATAATATCATTATCGATAGCCTCTGCTGATGAGCTCCGTGGCAGCAAAACAGCTGTTTGGAGGAGCTACAATATCACGATATCAACAGAACTGTCCTCGCTACGGCGGTGGTGTGCAAGTGGTGTGGGTCGGCCAAGTCTAGAGCACATTGTGTGTAACTCGAACAAAGTGATATTGGCAGCTGCATTTACTCCCATTTTCTGTTGTTGTGTTCCAATGCATACATACAGTCTATCACTGTAGCATTTAGAACCTGCTAGGACCCACACCTTCCACAGAGGCACCTTCATCTTATAAGCCCAAATGCTGTGCTGTAGCTCCATTGTAGATTTTGCCTGATGATTGCATAATGCATGAAACTCCGAGCTGCAAATGAGATCTTGGTAGTTTTGTTGTTGAATTGCTTTAGTACATACAGTCTATGTACATTGCTGCACCTGTGCACCACAGCCCCTCATACCCAGTCTCATGGTCTGTGTACCTGCGTATGTATGTGTGTGTGTTTCTTGCAGACTAAAGGATGTTCTCCACCAGGATACTAAACTGTACCTTATTTTTGAATTCCTCAACACGGACCTGAAGAATTACCTGGACCGCCATGATGGCTTTCTTCCCACTGCTACTATCAAGGTAAATAAATCACGGTCGAACCCCCTGTACAAACCCTCAACTCTAGAGGTCGAGACAAATAGAGCAGTGCCGCGGCTCGATGAAATCTGATCTCGTGAGTCAAATATGTGTCGGTCGCTGTGCAGCCCTAGACCTGTGAACACTGGGCTGCGCAACAGTGCCATGTGCAAACTTGACTCATGCGATCAGATTTTAATGAGCAGCACGGTGCATGTTTCGCATGTGAACTCATGAACCTATGACCTTTGAACCCTCTAAACCTAGTCCCCATGCTTGCCTTTTGCGCCGTGTTTCCTGTGCTTATGGAGTTGTTCACGCATTGACATATGCAGGGCTGTGTCCTGCACCATCTATAATGCTCGTGAAGTAGGAGTTCACCTAACGCCACTGTACTTGCATGGAAGTGATCATGGCCAAACTTGCTCAGCTTGCCTAGGACAGTACAGTACCGTTTCTTTGCAAGGGAAAGAAAGTGCCCGATGATTACGGCCTAACTGACGTGAATAGAGTGTGCGCTCTTGCTCCTAATGTGCTGTTGACGTCACATCATGTTCTTTGCTATTTATGCTCACTTTCTAGAGTTTTCTCTATCAAATCTGCCTTGGCATCGTCTACTGCCATTCTCATCGGGTGCTGCATCGCGATTTGAAGCCACAGAACCTGTTGGTAGGAAACAACGGTGTCATCAAGCTCGCTGATTTCGGCCTGGCGAGAGCGTTCGGTATTCCAGTCCGGGTCTACACACACGAGGTGCGTACTATGAATTGAAGGTGTATGTCTTTTGAATCCAGTGATTAGTTCCGTATGATTCAACGAAAACGTACATGTATGTCCTGGCGACGTTGTTTGTAGTGTGTGTGTTTTCGCCGTGTGTAGAACAAGTTACCGGAGTGTGGGTGCGAGTGTGTGTGTGTGTGGGGGGGGGGGGGTGCCTGTGCCCAAAGGATGGTGCACTTTTATCACGTGTGGTGTAGTTTCATTCCACTTTGTGTTGCATGATATAGGTCCACCTCACTCGTTTTTCTCAATCCTGAAGATGGCTCCTGACCGAAATTTGATGGAGATAATTGTAATTTGCAGCACAGCGACCACTTGATTTGAGGATTGTGTGTGTAGGGCTTTTCATGCAATGAAGTGGCTGCGGTGGAGCTTGCGCACCTTAGGAAGTGTTTTACTGTAAAGCTGTTCAGTATAACATACCTCCAAGGTCTATGGTAGTCTGTACCCTATAGCCAAGGTCAAATGAAAGGTACGGCACACTATTGCAAGGTTCTAAACAAAAGTACTTTATATCCCATGGTATGTTAGAACCATGGATTAAACGAAAGGACAAATTCCGACATCCAAGTTCAAATACTTGTATGTTATGAGCGGGGTCCTTTATACTGAGGTTCACCATATCTGCGTATAGAGTCTCCACTTCTGCACAGATGTCCACAGTAGCCCCTGCTTTAGTTTTTATATTGATGCCATTCTGTTCCTGGCAGGTGGTGACATTGTGGTACCGAGCACCCGAGATTCTCCTTGGCTCACAGCGCTATGCATGCCCGATGGACATCTGGAGCATTGGCACGATCTTTGTGGAAATTGTTCAGAAGAAGCCGTTCTTTCACGGCGATTCGGAAATTGACCAGCTTTTTAGAATATTCAGGTGAGTTGGTTGTCTGGATTTCCTTCTCTGCTCCACATAAATACCCAGAGGTATTGATTCACAAGATTGGTTCAGACCGCTAAACACACAAGAACAGCAGAGCTAGTGCACCAAGATGTGCTAAGAGTGGTGATCGTCCTAGTGGATATCTTCTTTATACACAGTGTGTAGCGCCTATAGCGTACCATTGTGATCACAATAGCCGCCAACCCTACTAGGCTACAGGCAGTATGCACTGTACACGCACACTTCATTATTATCTTGCTTGACAAGCTGCGCACGTATTGCCATGCGAGTGAAGTTGAGCTATACCAGCAACCACTGCCACTGGTCTTGTTGTGCGTGTTCCACTGTCAATGCAGAACATTGGGTACACCAACAGAGGAAGACTGGCCTGGAGTGACAAAACTGCCCGACTACAAGCCAACCTTCCCCAGGTGGAAGCCGCAACCATACAGCAAGACGGTTCCAGCACTCAAGGAGGATGCCATCGATCTTCTTCAGGTAGGAGAGCGGCTACTGAATAGTGAATACTAGTGTCCTCTGGTCATGCTTGATCGGCAATCATGCACCTACATGTATGTAGGCAGCATACATGTGCGGTCTCTCTGTATCTCTCTCTCTCTCTCTCTCTCTCTCTCTCTCTCTCTCTCTCTCTCTCTCTCTCTCTCTCTCTCTCTCTCTCTCTCTCTCTCTCTCTCTCTCTGATCAGCCAACAGGGCCGAAGATTTGTCAGTATACAGCAGAATAATCCCTCTTTCTGCCGCCCAGCGAAATTTCTGTCTGCATCTTTCCAAGGGGACAGCACAGTTTCAGAAAGTTGTGGAAAGAGGGCGAGCAACGCTCACTATATTAGGGACTATGAAAAGGTGGATGTATCTCGATGCGTTGAGTTGGGCAAGCACACAGCATATGAACTGTGATCATGCTTTAGTATTACTTGAAGTATAGCACATGCTGGTGAAACATTGCCAACTCAGCCACTTTCCTTCATTCTCTCTCTCTCTCTCTCTCTCTCTCTCTCTCTCTCTCTCTCTCTCTCTCTCTCTCTCTCTCTCTTGCTCACAGCAAATGTTGCAGTACGACCCATCCCGTCGGATTACTGCTAAAGCAGCACTGATGCATAGCTACTTCCAAGATCTCGACATGTCGTCCTTACCAGCACGCTACGAGGCTATGGCCCGCTGGCCATAGAATACCTTCCCATTGCTATCATCACATGCCTTGTAAGATATACTGTGCTCTATTCGGTGAGATGACTGCTACTTCAAGAGCGGCGGCTGCTGTTGCAGCTGTGCAATGCCCACAAGTGCGTATTTCCGTCACCTGAAAACTATAATAGTTTCCGCGGCTGTTTCTTATGTGGGATCCTTGGACCCAGTCACAATTCGGAGTTCTCACTTTCATACCGGGAATCCATAGATGTAACATAGCCTATTGCTTTCTGACCTATCCAGCCGCGAAATTTTAACCCTTCAGTGCCAGCCCATGACTGGTTCTTTTTTAGTCTTCTTCTTTTAATTTTTTTTAAATTTTGGACATTGTTAACAGAGGAAATTCTGGGCTACGCACTAGCTCACACATTCCTCCTGTCATGTAAATTTTTTAAGTTTTTTTAAAAGTTTTTATCGGAGATGAAACCATTTGTAGGCTTTTTTAGATTTCTGCAGCAGCAGCAGCACAAACCACACATTCGCACATGAACATACCGATGCTATTTATCGATAGTATTTATGTTGTTATTGATCACAACAATGATGACTGCATGATCATTGCCGGGGACATTTCCCGGCTCCTCTGACTAACACATCATACTCATTCAACGCCTTCTTTCCTGGTGAGAATTGCACTGCTTTTCTTCTACAATCACAGCAATCACATTTGTTGTCACTGGACTCCCACCCATGACACTAGGACCGGCGTACCTGATGTCAGGAGAGCAATGCCCTCTTCATGCCGGTGCCTCAGGATACATCCTGAGGCACCGGCGTGGAGAGGGCATTGCTCTCCTCAAGGGTTCGATTTTCCGTGCCAACATCCGTATGGGCGCTACAGATTTTTTAGGCGTGCTCCATACGATTTTTCGGCATGGAGAATCCGTGTGGACTGGGTAGGACTTTCGCGTGTGGACTGGCTTTCATACGAATCATGTTTCGTATGCAGATTTTGCGTCATCGGGTGCAGAAAGATTTTTCGCGTACAAATTTGGTAGGAGAAACATTGATTTTCCACGGGAAGTTTTGATTTCGGTACAAATTTTCAAAATAACAAGGCATAGCTCGGGAATGCGACGTGTTTACGATCGTAACCTACGCAATGATGGCAAACACATAAGTTCCGTACTCCGGAACATTTCACTGCTCGAAAACAACGTATAAAAAATCCGCAGCGCCTCTACGGATTTGGCACGAAAAATCGTACTCCGGAACCTCTCTATTACTATACAGGTGGAATCCTGATAATTCGAATATGGCTTAATTCGAACGATTCCCACATAAAAATTCTGATAATTCGAACCTCGAACTGGACATGTACGGTTAATTAGAAGTTTCACAGATTCCACTTACAATTACATAGAAAATGTGTGGGATTTGTGTTGATAATTCGAAGTAATTAGGGTTCCCAGTAACAAGACGGCAACGTCTGTAGGGCCTTAAGGCCTTCCCTATCAAAATAATAAATTCTACTACTACTACTACCGGTACTACTACTAATTAGTTCACTGTACACTGTACTGGTCAGTTCAGTTTGCATGAGCAGGCTGTGCCGGTCAGTTCAGTGTCCGTAAAATTTGTGTCTAAGGTCCATAGCGCAACTCTGCGTGACCATCAGAGCATTTTGACATACATATTGAGTTGTGGGTTCATGTTTGGATAATTAGAAGTTTTTTCCTGGCATTTTGAGGTTTGAATTATCAGGATTTCACCTGTACCTCATAGTAGTGTACATGTACAGGGCCATCATGATCATACCGGACCAATCAAAAACTGCTTCCCGCGGTCCTGCTCGTACAGCGGATCACCCGAGCCTGGGAGGGCTGACTGAGACTGATCCCCGTGCAGTCCCGGCTCACCAACACAGCAACAGACTTCTCCTCCCCCCCCCCCCCCCCCCTGGGCCACTGTGAGAGGCACATACTCATACTCTAGCCAAAGGTGGGTGGGTGGGCTGGGTGACGCAGCCTCCTCCCTACTCTATTCAATTTTTGTGTATGTTTTCAGCTTACACAACAAAAAAGGCAGCCACAAATCGATCGTTTGGGGTGCTCACCCATGCTTTGCATTTATATGTGGCCAGCACGACTCCCTGGTGGTGAGGCAGGAACATCATGGTGGGTACTCAGTAACTGATGGTTCCTCTGCCCCCCCCCCAATTTTCTTCCTGGGGTAGAACCCTAATTATAAATATTAAATATAATTTAAAATAAATTATCCTTAGGCCATCGTTTTTTATATCTGTGTTTCGCGTCGTCCGCACGCATACGTTTTGATTTTTTTCTGAGAAAAATAAAAAATTGAACATGCACAGACTGAGTGAACGATCGTGGGAGTCATCAGTGCGGACTGGTTGCATGCGCGCGGCAAAGCTGGGATTCAGAAATGGCCTCTAGGCCAGCGTTGGTAAATCGTTTGTTCCGCATCTGCGAGCAGTATTCTATGAACTTACACCAGACCGCATCGATCGCCTCAAGCTGAGAGGATGCGTCGTTCCGGAGCTCTTTGCACCGCTACTGAAGTCGGAGTACAATAATAATCCAGCGAAGCATTGGTACTGTACACCTCTGATATTAATGCCTTTTTTATTATTTTGCAACTTTTTTATTTTTTTCCACCTCTCGCATATGATTCTGGAAGTTGAACTGACGCGAAACATAGATATTAAAAATGACGGCCTTATGCTGACCCTTCATACAAACTTCCAGTCAACTTGCCCATCATGCTGGCGGTTTATACAGGGCATATAAACCTCATACCTCATACAAACCCCATATAGACCACCACCATAGAAACAGGAAGAAGTTGACTGTCAGTTTGTATGAAGGTCAGCATAAGTAGAATACATATGTACATCCCACTAGTACGTGAAATATAAACCATATATTTCACGTACAAGCGTACTGTTGGGTTGTATTATATACATATTACTCGAACATGGCCTAGGCCTGTAAGGCTGTGTTTACATGAGAAATTTCAACCCGGGTCGAGTTCAGCCCGGGTTGAAAGTCTGTACGATAGACAAAAGAGGTGAGCGTTTACATGAAGACAGTTGACCCGGGTCAAATACTGATATGCCGCCAAAAGTTCACTTCTACAGTCTTGTGTGGTCACGTGAATCCGTTCGCGCGAAATTTGCATCTGCAGTGCTGTTCAAACCTGGCGCGAGATACGCACAGACGTACGTTTGTACGATTTTCTTGACCCGGGTTGATTTCAACCCTCCCCTTGGGGGGGGAGGGTTGAAATCAACCCGGGGCGAAATTTCAACCCGGGTCAAGCGCAATGCGTCATGCAAACGCGCCATTCATTTTGTGCACATGGCGGGTTGAAATCTGACCCGGGTCGAACTCAACCCGGGTTGAAACGCCTCATGTAAACACAGCCTAAGTAACAGTTGTAACTATTTTAGGGGGTGATTATATGTGCAGCTCCAGCCCGGGCTGGTCGACAGGCGGGCCAGCCCGCCTGCAACGGGATCTCGGGGTTGTACACAAATCCACACAAAACCCGTGGTGCGTTTACATGGCAAGCGGGCTGGCCCGGCGAGGCGGGATCCCGGCTAGGCGGGCCAGAAAAAGCACATATAAACAGATCAGCCCGGGCCAGAGTTGTATTATTATGGTGTCGACACTGCGTTCATACTACAAAATAGGTACTTTTGCCTTTTAAGGGAAGTTATAAAGAGGATTCCCGATATTGTCTTGAAAATCTATGAAGCTTTTTGTACAGCAACAAGAAGGACGTGCAGTGAGCACTGTTTATTTGTCGACATGCATGATTTATATTAAAATAGAAGGGGAACTACTTGCAAAATACTTTGATATGGACAGCTAAAAATGTGAAAAACAGGAAAAAGAAACGAGGTGATAAAACACACCAAGCATGTGCCACAGCGCGGAAAGAAATCAGCAGAAGAATACATTGTGTGAGAAAAAAAGTTTTTAGGTTTATAACCTGAGTATGGCTTGCAGCCCTGCGTTTCAGCCCGGGGCAGCACACTACAGCCGTAGTGTGTTCGCTGCATACTCACAACGGGCTGGCGTGTGCTCAGCGCATACAAACTCACTGCGGGCTGGCGACCAGCCCGGCCTTGCACATGTAAACACCTTTTGCGGGCTGGCCCGCTCGCTCCAGCCCGGGCTGGAGTTGCACATATAATAGGCCCCTTAGTTACTTGTAACTAAATACTCTTGCTTGTAATGGTATAGATGACAATGTACATGCACTGATGCAGTATGAACTCACCGACTTCCACACTAGTTGATAGGTACACGAATAGGGGCTATGAGCCTACTACTACTACTACCAATAGTACTAGCCTACATGACTGTATGTGTATGACTGTACATAATTACTGAATATGCATTCTTTCGGTGTATTGTCACTTACAGTCTGAAGAAAATCGGCCATGTACTGACAAACGGGATCCATACTTCACGAGGAGCACGAGGTTCATTCAACGAATACAATACAAACTACTTGAATCATGGTATAATCTCATATACAGCATGTTACAAGGCCGCCGAGGGAGGACGCATAGTGCTCCTGACTACAACCGGGTTATGGTTGCAGTCGACTAGTCAGGAGGAGCACTAATCTATGCGTCCTCCTCGCCTTGTAACAATTATTATTGTTACATGCTGTCGAAATCGAAAAACATACCATACCGGGTACGAACGTACTTGAGTCTTGAATCATGCAAGTCAAACTCCCTGGATTTTAATTTTATGATTCATAATACCTCATTTGATGATGTCACCATTACATCTATGACGTTTCCTCGTGAAACTACTTCGCAGTTCAAACTGGTCTTTGAGTTGGACTTCAGACGTCGTCTTCATCGATCATCGTGCATCATAGATCAAAATCATCAAAAGTGCAAAGAGCCAGAACATTTCCAACAGAACGCGTGGCCATGGGGCCACCCGCAGTGTTCTAGAGCGTGCATGGTGAACGCAACAGCTTTTACGCTTATTTGGAAGCCATTCTGACCTGATATGCCATCTTTCTCAGCTCGCGAACATTCGTCATCGCAAGACGTTTTCCTCCTTGAAATCAATGAAGACAACGACTGGATGCTGGTATTTGGTCAATTCCCATTTCAGTTTCACTGAGTTCCCTACCAAGTCCAGGTGTGTAGAGGTTTTTCAGTGCTCTCTTGGAGTGGCCCGTGTAGATTGTTTTGTTCTGCGTGTGTTTGTGTAGATCTATGTACACCTTGTTCTTGATTGTTTTTTTTCCTGCTTTCATCCTGCTGCAGCTGTTGCAGTGTTTCCAACCAACACCATGGGTGGAGTACTGTCCTCTGCTTTTCCCAGTAAGATAGAGGCGCCGACGAGGCGAGTTTTCAAATTTATGATCGAGAGGGTACTGGGAAAGTACATCAAGCTCGCAGATGACAAGTTTTCAGCTGAAGATTTGGGCGTGAGCCTGGCCAATGGCCAGGGTTACTTGAGGAATCTCTCCTTGAACGAGGCCGTAAGTGAACCCAGAACAGAAACGTCTTGGTTAATAGGGGATTCACACACACACGGGTAAACCATGGTTGTGGGAAAATTGTTATGGAAACCATGGTACTGGGGGAAAGGAAGAACCTCTCGGGAAAAAATTGGCAAAACCGTAGCCGTGGGCCTCAGGGCATTTGTCAAGGGAAACATC